AAACAACCTCACACATCCCTCTCCATCATCTATCCACACCCACCCCCATCGACACCCACACCCCCACCCTCACCCACACCCACCACCTCACCCATACCCACACCCTCACCCCATACCCACACCCACACCCCGCACCCACCCACACCCACACCCACACCCCAAAGAGATACCTTCAGAGGATTGCCGAAGAAAAAGAAAAAACATTGCTTTGATTCTTTTCACATTTACTTCAATGAATGGGTCTTTTACAGTGAATATAAGATAGAATCATATCAATTATATACGAGGGTGTGGATATGAGTGTTAGTGTGGGGTGTTAGTGTTGGTGTATGGTATGGCTGTGAATCTTCTGTTTAACTACACCCGCACCCCAACCCAATGGGAAAAAGCGAAAACGCTGTACTTCACTGTACTCCAAGACTATACCAAACAATCCTTGAAAAAATTTTAGCTATTTCAACTTTGTTATCGACCTGTGTTATGGTACTTCACCTGGAGTCCAGCATGGATATGTCTGTTGCGTACCAACGTCAAAACACATAGCTGTACTTCAATAACTGAAGTAAGACGAAGTAATTGGGGTTTGCTACAAAACAGGCATATCTAAGCTGGACTCCAAGTGAAGTACCGTAATATTAGGTCGACAGCAAACTTGAAATAGCTACGAATTTGTCAATCATTGTTTTCTTAGAACCTTGGAGTACAGTGAAGTACGCTGAAGTACAGCATTTTCGCTTTTTCCCCTTGCTGCATCCACACCCACCCATACTAACACCCACATATCACTCCACCGTCGATTTCTGAGTCTCTCTGAAACCTACTCTTCAGATACCTTTGCGAACAAGTCTGAAAAAAATGGAAATATTTTGAGAGATTAGCATTTTTTATTATTCATTCTTTGAATATTAGACACAAATCTAGTGATAATTTTTGAAAATGTATATATATGTGTATCTCGATGAGAGGAATATTTTGATTGGTAAAAGTAATAGAAAATTGTGTTCATTTCTCGCAAAAGTTGAGTTTTAAGGGTTTCAGTCAAATTGACTGAGTTTGTCAAATTACCTCCATTATTTACATTGATTGCCAAGATACTCCACGTGGGGTAATTTGGCACAAATTTTTTTTTTAGTGGTCTTTTTTTAAAAGATGCAATTCACGTTGAGTACCAAACTGAAAACTAAGATTAGTATAAACTCGTAAAGAAATGTTTCCGCTATTCAATGATATATTTTTTATCAAAAAAAGATTTAAAATAGCTTTCAAAAATAGTTTTTATTTATTGTACACAAAAATTGCTGAGAGTGCCAAATTACCCCGCATAATTACATTAATTGCCAAATTACCCCCGATGGGGTAATTTGGCACAGCCTCTAGTAGGTCCTATTAAAACGACTGTGGAAAACTTACAAAACAAGATTTTCAGAAACGAAATGCACCGTTGAATAGAGAAATGTTTTTTCTATATGTTTTGTTCCAAAATTTTTTTTCTATCTTTTAAAATAAAAAAGTTGTGAGCAATACACTAAAAAACTTCAATTTCTTGTGCCATTTTACCCTATCCTACTCTAATTTAAATTAATGTTTTATTAAGAGAAAATTGTTATAAAACCATCACGTTCAACTTTGTCTAAAGCCTACACTATTTTTATATTACAGGATGATGATGACGATGATGATGATGATGATATACATGCAACTGGTGGTCAAATAATGTTAGATAATACAACAGTTGATACATCTCAACTTGCTACTTTACCTGGTCAACCATCTCAAACAAATGTTACAACAGCTGATCGATTTCAAGGTCCTCATTTGGTTCATCCATCAGCTCAACAAATTGTTGCAACAGCGCAACTGCTTCAACTTTCTCATGTAAGTCTTCACTCACTTCAACTTGAAAATATAATTATTGACAAGACTCGCATCAGCTTTATCAAATCAGAAGGTTTTACTTGAAATATCAGGATAAAAACTAGAAGATCTTGCTTGAGTTCTAAGATGAAAAATCAAATGATTTTTACTTAGACTATAAAAAGAAAACCCAGAAAATTTTAGGGAAAAAACATGAAAAAAATCGAAAAATTTTTCGTGAAATATCAGAAGAAAATTCTGGATTCTCTTGTAAAAATCATAATGCTTTTCTCCTGGTTTTTACCTTGATATTTCATGAAGAATCTCCTGGTCAAGTTCTGTTTATTTTTATGAGGATCTTTCTATCTTAAAACAAATAGATTTGACAACTCTGGCTTGTATAAGTCTTTTTCTTCTGACTGTGAAATAGAGATGTGCAGGATAAGCTTTTTGCACAACGTGTACCCTGCAGGAGAGAAATTTTCAAACTCTAATCCTACCTTATCCTAGAGAATCTGTACTTCTACCCTGTAGAACATATATTTTGATTCTGTGGACTCTATTTCTCATTCTTCCTTAGTCGTACCCTAGCTGAAAGATTTTAATAGCAGTAGATACCAAAATAGTATCGCATTTTTTAAATTTAACCTATTGGTTATTACAAAGTATTAAAGTATAATTTTTCTGAAATTTCTGATAAACAATATATGATCAACTCTGTCATCACTGAGATTTTGTCACTATTCTTCGACAATTCTTCTAGTCGCACTGAATATTCTGTCGGTTGTATAGGAACTATTATCTATGTCAAAAACGAAGAAGAGCTAGTATTTTGGTCTAAATTTTGATAGAAATAAGACAGAGATTTATGATTTGCACTGTCTAAAAGAGGAGATGAAACTGCATCGAATCATATATTTTAGATTTTTCTGATAAATTTTGTGAGGATTTTGTACCCAGCTTTTTAAGAAAAAAAATAATGTGTAACACAAATGTTTTAGAATATAAATTTTCCGAAGTGCATTAGAAGTGCGAACTAAAGATTTATAAACTCTGCAAGTTCTTCATTGTTAACTTTAGCTAATCATGAGTTATAGACAATTTAGTGCATGTCGTCAGCTGATTTTGTATAGAAAATTGACATTTTTTCAGATTTTTTGATAAAAAAGAATTCATCTTGTCAGCCTATTAAAAACCCTGGAGATTTTGGAAAAATCTGAGGGTAGATGCTGCAAAATTTATCAAAAAACCTGAAATATATGATTCGATGCAATTTCATCTTCATGTTCCTTGTCATCAGATTCGGGTTGATCTTCTTGAGCAAACTCCATCATTACATCTTATTTTGAAAAACTCATCTTTTTTATATTTTTTCTATAATTCTCACTCTTTTGATACTCTTGCCCTTACTCTACGCAATCCTGCAACATCCTTATCCTTATTCTACCGTATCCTGCAGGGTAGAGTAGGATTTTCGTACACACCTCTACTGTGGAAGGATATTTCAGGAGATTCTGTACGAAAATAAAATAAAAGAAACTATATCATTAGAAGGTTTTTTCTCGTCTATATTATTAAACTCAATATCATTTTTTATTTTAATTTGATTTTTCTTGTATAAAATCTAAATATGCATTGATAAGTTTACTCGATTAAATCACACGTTGTTTTATTTTTTCTTTCCTTTTTTTTACGTCGGACGACAAATCAAGAACAAGTACGCCTTCGTATTAACAATTTTTTCGTCGTTTGACCTGTCTAATTCTTTTGTTTTTTTTATGAGCAGAACGGTCGACTGTTTATGAACTTTTCATATACATATATATTTGTATATATATATACTCACCTTCTTTTCTCATTTTGTTACGTTTCAATTTATCTGTCATCTATAGAATTAAGAAAAAAAAGTAACAGCAATAATGGCCGCGAAGGAGGTAGATGTTTGGTAGATTTCCTGAATATATATTTTCTTCTTAATAAATCATCAGATTTACTTTTTCTTTTCTTTTCTTTACAGGATGCAAATGTTCCAGTTTTATCTCAAGTAAAGGAATTGCTTTTAGAATGGAATGTTGGAACTGTACCAAACGAAGAATATTTTTTGAAAATGAAAAAACTGTTAAAAATAGCTTAATTCCTACAAATGATAATTACTCGGATATTTCATCAAAAACGTTTTTTCTTTTTTCATCTTCTCGTTTTACTTCATGTCGTTGTTTATCGACAGTCTCTGGTTTATCAATGTCAGATATTTTCTGATTATGTTCAATGTCTGACTTTTTTTTCTTTTTCATGGTTACATTTATGTGTTCTCATTGATCATGATTATATTTTCATTGTGATCTTTCATCATCTGTTGATTTTTTTCTTTATCTTTGGATATGATGATAAGATTTTGTTTTTTTTTGTGGCTTTTTGTTGATGACAGTTCATTAGGTCTTAGAGTCATGTCAACTCGGTTTTTCTTAAGATTTCGTTATGGTCACATCCATTTGTTGTCCTACATCTTAATCAAACATATTTTTCTCTTTCAACAACTTTTACGTTTATTTTTTTCTTTTTGATCATAGTCAGATCGTTTTATTGTGATTCATTATGGTCAGATTCTTTTGTGTTCGATTAGTTTCTGGTATCCTTTTCTCTTTCACCAAGATCACATCTATTTCGTTCCATGTAGGGGTAAATCAACTACGAAATGAAGTGAAGAATTATCCGATATTTAATTCTTCATTCCTAATACATTTGGTACACAATGATCTGATTGATCGAACAAAAAAAAATTTCTTTTTATCTTTTAACTTACACTACCATTAGAGAAGAATGATCTTACGACATAACATAAAAAGAAGGCCTTCATCTTTTCCAATAAAAATGATCAATACCATTTTAGAAATGTCTTCATCTCTTGTGAAACTTGTTGATAATCTTCAATATCTTTGTCATAAACATGTTTTAACATGTGATGATCAATTATTAAATGATATTCCACGGAAATAGCGTATATATGGTGCTATGCTTCTTGATACTTCATATTGTTGCTTTATTGACTCTCGTTACATAAATCATATTCGTTCGTTATTCTGAATGAATTTTTTTTGTATTTATTAAAGTATTGATTTTTAGCAATTGATCAATTCCAGTTGACTATTGCTCGAACATTTCGGTCATCCATGAAACGTAGTGCTTTTGAAGGTGCGATACAAAAATGATGATTTCCAATCATTAACTACACGATTACTATTAGGAAATGATTCATGGGTATATTTAGTTTAATTTTTGTTCTCAGTCGTTTTGGAAAGAGACGTTTAATTCTAGGTTTTTATATAATGCTGATAAAAGTATGTTTTGTGTTGAAAATAATACTAAGCAAATGAAAATGGAAAAAATATTGTGGTGTTAGTGGAAGAATTGTAGAATCTTTCGGTAGATATGGGATATTTTATTCATCCATTTCTTGTTCATGATTAGTCACGCTATGTCTATGCTTATCGATGAAATTCACATTCACAATAGACGCACTTTTCGTCGTAGTCTTCAAACAAATCATATTAATGATGATCGTTATATATTTTTATTGAGAGATAATAAAGTAGAATATTTATTTACTTTTTTTTTCGAAAGATAATTTCTAATCATATCTTTTAGACATGTCCTGTTGATGGAGCTGATCGATGTAATCTTGGTTTAATTCCATCATCTGAACTAAGTTGGCCTATTGTATGTCGAACTCTTCGATCTGAAGATAGTCGAGTTCATCTACATAATGTTATGAATAACAAAAGAAGAAATACATAATCACAATGGAGTAAAAAGGTTCGATAACATATTGAAACTATTATGCAAGATATTCATCATGAAGAAAATAATTATAAATGTGAAATAGAACATATTGAACGAGTTAAACCTTATCGACCTCATTTAGATGATAATTGTTGTTTATGTATTATTAACTAAAATATCTTCATCAGCGTGAGAAAAAAATTTCTTAAAAAAAATATTCAGTTTATTAAATGTGATTATTAAACTGTCTATTTCGTAGTTTCTCAAAAGAGATACTTTTTAATTAAATATACAGCTATTTAAAAGGGGTACAACTATTTAGAAAAATCATAGCTATTTAAAGTGTTTCGACTATTCAAACCACCATAACTACCTAAAGTTTCCGATAGCTATTTAAAATTTCACACGGTTATTAAAATTACTATAGCTATTTTTTTTATTATTAATTTTTAAAAACAGTCGCCTGTATAAAATACATTCACTCTGACACAGACCACGATTATGATACAGACAACAGTTTGAATCTTTGTAAAACTCTTTTTTCGCTCTTGTTTCATAATCGAAATATTCCATTTTTTGGCAACCCTGCTCAATTATATAATTAAAAGATATACACACACTACATAATTTAAATGTATTTCCAAATCACAGTAAAATTATATAGTGTATGTTTTCATTTTCATCAAACGCTGCTAATGATCTAATAAAAGAATATACAAGTAACTATATAGTTTAAAGAGATTTAAAAATGCTAGTGCAGTTGCATAGTGTTTTTTTATTAAACGCTTCTCAATGACATGATAAAAAATATAAGCTAATAGATGATTTAAATACATTTAAAAAAGATAGTAAAGTCATATAATTTTTCTTTTTATCAAACTCTGCTCAATCATCTAATAAACTAAATATACAAGTAACTATATAATTCAAATATACTTTAAAAAAAGATAGTGAAATCATATTTTTTTCATTTTTTTCATCACATCCTGCTCAATGATATGATAAAAAAAATAGAAACTAATAGATGATTTAAATACATGTAAAAAAGATAATAAATTCATATAATTTTTTTCATCAAACGCTGCGCAATAATATGATACAAAAATACAAGCTAATAGAGGATTAAATGGATATAAAAAAGACAGTAAAATCATTTAATTTTTCTTTTTCATCAAACTTCGGTCAATCATCTAATAAACTAAATATACAAGTGACTATTTAATTCAAATATAATTAAAAAAAGGACAGTAAAAGCATATCATTTTTTGATTGTTTTTTAATCAAACCCAGCTCCTTGGCTTTATAAAGAAATACAAGCTACTGGATGATTTAGGAACATCACAAAATGATACTAAAATCATAGAGTTTTTTTTCACCAAACTCATCAAAATCCTCTTACTAATATATTCCTCAATACTAAAATAAGTAAAAGACATTAGGATCCACAACTAACGCATCTTGTTCTAAACACATACGAATAAAATGTCTCATAATCTCTTATATGATCCCTACATTCACCTATTAAACAGGAAAATATTACCCGAAAATCATCTAACAGCAGGATGATAAAAATCGTCTCTAAAATACTACACTATACTTCAGTTACACCAAAATTCTTCACGCAGTGCTGAAAACCACAGAATGCTATTGAAAACTTATATCAATACAACAACAAAACATATACGAACATATCAGTCACGTATTCTTAGGGTTAAATCTGTCAAACCAACAACGAAGAATACAAATCCAGACATACCGAATCCAAAACTTCAACACAACGATTTCAAAATTAAACATAAGCACAAAAGCCTCAAATACCTAATACAAAGTTAAACAAACAGGCGTTGATACCACACACATACTCAAACATTAACGATTAGAACACCATTTTAAATAGAGAAAAAAAATTCACTACGTGTATACAAACATAAAGCGGCTATTCAAAGATTAAATAGCTATACAATCAATAAATAGAACCACTAAAAGAATAAATAGCTGAAGAAAAGTTTAAATAGTCATAGAAAAATTAAGTAGCTATTGACTAACGTAAAACACTTGTTCAATATTTAAATAGCTATAGAGTGATTAAATAGCTATATGAAATGATGACATTGCTGCACAGAATATATAATAGAAAGATGTAGGAGAAAATGTATCTCTTTTGAGAATGAGCTAATGTTCTCTGCTGATTTCAATGATTTTCGTTCCTATCGATACTACTTCAAGGTCTCCTCGAAATAAGAACTTTTCACGAGTAGTATAGTGGTCTGCTCAAAGTTTCAAATCTAATGTTAAAAATATGAGTTGTTCAAAAAACTGACGGCTTTAAGCAAAGTTCGATAACTCAGTCAAATCTGAATAGGAACCCAAATTCTTTTAGGGCTTTTATTAAAATATATGATGTAATATACATGTATTAAATAGACAAAGAATTCGTTGAAAACATAAGATAAAATTTAAACAAGTTCTATCGTCAAATCAATAGTTTTTCCAATCAACTTAGCTGATGATGTACTTGAAGATAAGGTTATCAACCTTATTTACGTCTATATCTTAACGAATATTAAGAAAAAGCCCCATAAACTTCAAATAATCACATAGAAAACTTTATATGAATACATCGAGAAATTACTTGGTACTTTTATATGAAATTATTATATTCCTAATAAGATATTTTTTTCTGAAATAATTTTAATCAAAATATTAAAATTTCTACATAAAATTGAACTAGATAAATAATAAAGAATTAATTTTCATCACATCTCATTTCATCCTTCCCTTAAAACATTAATATCAATAGAAACAATCAAATCACTTGATTCTTATTTTAAGTAAAAATGATCTCACCTTTTAATAATAGGTAATCAGAAAATGATTAATTAATATTCACATACGCAATAGAATGAGCTAAAAGTATCCAATTATCGATGATATCGTTAACTATGATATAGACAAACACAATGACAAAAAGATTTTCTATAAGATTAAAAATGGGTATTTTATGAATATGTGAGCAAGACAAAGCAAATTGTGTCAAGAAGAATGGTATAAACGATTTAATTGTTTATTGAAAAAGTATAAACGATAAAAAGGAGATTGGAAATATTTCTATTGGTTAATAAAAAAAGAAAAAAATGTAAAATGGTAATAAATGAACAAAGAATTTATTTTTACTATTATTTCATCCCGTGAATAATTTGAGCAGATCTCTTCTTCAGACTCTTGTATTCGGTTAGATTAGTAAGCCCAACATTTTCACCATCAGATATGTTGATTGCACACACACACATGGAAATTAGAGTGGATAAGAATCATTCAAAATATTAAGCGTAGAAAAGAACTTATTCAACGAACCTACTTGATCACAATAAGATTCTATTGTTCTTGATTCATGAATTGATTACGAAAAGACCTTTTCTATGCGTCTTACGACAAATACTGTATGACAGTCATATATAATATGTTGTTAACATTTACTAATAAAATGTTTTCAAGTGAATCTGAAATAGGTATTGATTAGACCTAACTTTTTAACTATGTACCAACTTTAGTCTTAGTTCGAACTCCTTTTTTTTCTATAGTCTAGTTCTGATCAGATAATTTTTATTCTAGAAGTTTCTAAATTATAGTGTCATTTTTCGAGATATAAAACAATAAAGAAAGGCATGACTGTTAATCAGCTACATTATCTTTTCGTGCAAGTATTGGACGTAGCTAATCATAGATAAAATAAGGTTTAGCTTTATATCTTGTTCTTAGTTATGTTCTATATGGACACCATTTTTCCCAACTAAATCCACATCGACCCTTTTTTACAATTTGGTTCGAATCGGACGGAACTAATTGACATCCGACAGATTCTTTCAAAGTCACAATGCGCTTTTCAAATTTTTATTTCATCTGAATAGTATATATTGTTTAGTTTCTCTATGCTTTCAGTTACTTCAGTATCATTTATAGATGAATCGATATTAAAAAACTGATTCTCTCAGTAAAACAACGAGTCTTTAATCTAATCATAGAACATTAGCTTTTTGTAGTAGCTATGATGCGTTCAGTATATTTATTAAAATCGTTTTTCTATTTTGTGTCCATCGTATTTTTCATGATATTCAACTAACCCTTATTCAAACAACAAAAAAAAATCATATAATTGAGTTTATCTCTTAATGTGATAGAATCCAAAAACTTTATAGATCTGTCAAACTTTGAATTATGTCATATGAACTAATATAAAGGCAATATGTAATAATGTTGTGAACCTGAAACATTTCAAGTTAATTAATTCAGCTGATATTTTATTTGCTTATAATTCGAAAAAAAGCTTTTATCTTTATACAATTGTATATTGATGTCATTTCACTTTATACTAATAATGGACTATTGTCTATTTTAATTTCATTTCATCACATTCGATAAATCGGTATTCATAATGACAATAATATATGAACAAGTATGAAATATAGAAGCATGTATCTCAGCAAATAATTGAAAAATGAACTATTGATTAATTAAAAATTTAACATCTTTTTTATTATTATTTCAATTGAATATATTATTAATATCTCTATAATTTTAATATATCTATATTTAATTTTCTTAAGAAATTCTATAATCAATCATTATTATTATCATCGTTCTCTACAAAAATACAGAAAAAATAACGAACACAAATAAATACAATAAAATATGAAGCATACTAATAATTTTTTCAATTCTTTGTATAGCTACATCAAACAAATTAGATATTTTAATTGTAAATAAATCGGAATCATCAATTGAACGAAGACGTTCTAATTGTTCCATAAATTCTTGTCCTATTACTGAATATTTCAATTCACATATTCTTATTTGTATATCATGATCAAATGATTTATTATCTAATTTTGCACTTAAAATTTGTGTTTGTGTTCGTTTTATCATGGACGTTGGTAATTGTTGTTGACTATGATGATTATTATAAATATGATGTGGTAAACGATGTGATGATCGAGTAATTTCATCATTTATCGCTAAGACTGTAGTCGAATGAGTAAAGCAAAATTCATTGGATGGTGGTGGCATTTGAGATTTTGCTATTGCTTCATTTGTATTTTCTGTTGAAGGTACCATTGTATTACTTTTATCATCAAATAACTAAAAGACAAAAACAAAATTAATTAAATTAGTTTGAGAATACAATAAACCTACATCGAGAATACGTATTGTTTGTCGTTGAGTACACTTTGTTGGTCGAACGACATTTAATACTTTATTTTGATCTAATCTTTCAGGAATAAACTGTCGTTCATTTAAATTTTCAGCAAACGGTTCACCAGGTTATAATTAACAGACACAAGAAAAACAATTAGTTTAATACATTCAAAATAAAAATATGAAATATGTTTTCGTTTAAGATTTTCAACATATAGAGAGACCTATCTACTCTGGAACATTTTATCTTATGTTTAAAAAACATAATGTTAATGAAAGTTGTTTCTCTTTGAGATTGTCTGTAAATGACGAAGATTCACTATTTTTATACGAATTTCTATTATTCTCTGTAGTTTTGATGATATTTCAAAATAGCATCTACCTCGTCATATTTAGTTTTTCTTTGAAACAAATCCAGAGACAATTGTATTTCCTTCAATAAATCTGTGATAGTTGTGCAAATCTCTATCTCAATAATTGCTTCTGATGATATGTCATAAAATAAGACTTGATAATGTTTCAGTTAATCTTTTTCTCTTCATTCATTTCTATCATAGATACTCGAGATATTTATGATTGACTTATGTCATGAAAAGCATTCAAATTCTGTAGAAAATTTTGTTAGTCAATGTCTTAATCTTCTCAGTAAAAATACTTTTCAAATGTTGATCTGAAATTCCGTACAGAAATATACTCGAACAAGAAAATCAGGGTGTATATGAACTATATGAAAAAAATGCTTTCACAATAAACTATTTTGTTTAAGATCAATTTCTATGCAAAGTTTTAAGTCGAGATCCAAAAAGCATGTATTGAATTAAAAATAAAATATCTCTGTAGGAATTCTCTAAGAATTTGAATGCTTTTCATGACATAAGTCAATCATAAATATCTCGAGTATCTATGATAGAAAATAAAAACAAACCTACATAAAGTCGCACATATTTATATAACCAAATACAAAATAGAACATCGATATGTTTTAAAAGAATTTCATCAACTTCAATTCGTTCAGGAATAACTAAAAATACACACATATAATAAAAACTAAACAAAACAAAATAATAATAGTAATATACTAAGTCTGGGTCCTGTGTAACTAATATGTCATTTTTCTTCCATTAAATCTCGATAGTCATAACCAAGACGACTAAATAACGATATTTTTATTTTAATTAATTAAATTTAAAGAAAGAAAACAATGAATCTTACTCGCATGCTTGTTTGATTGAATAATTTTCTGGTACAGCATTTTCATCACCATATTGTTCTTGTTGTTTACTAAGGAGAAGATAAAAAACATCTAAATAATTATTTTTAATATCTAATAATTATATTCTTACTGAACATTCGATGGATGTGAAACACCAGTTAATGTACGATGAGCCGCTGATGGCATCGGTGCATAAGCTTGATTACGTGGAAAAATTGATCTAGAAATCAATTTTAAAGATAAAATATCGATTAAATTTAATCGTTTCGGTCGTGATTGAACAGATCGATCACATCTTAAACTCATTGTTGGACAACTTGTTTGATGATGAGTTATTCTATGAATGAAATACATATGATAATTTTCGAATATTCAAGATCTTAAAACACAATATATTAGAGAATTTACAAATTGTCTAATGCAATCATCTCATTGGAAACTTAATTCATACAAACTTCTGAAAACTAACTCTTCTATTATTTATCTAATAAACACCATAGAGTGTTGCAATTTTCCATATGAGATATCACATGGATAGATGCAACAATTTTTTATGATGACAAATATCCTTTTAAACAATAGTTCAGTAGACAAATCTCTTACTTTGTTTGTTGATATTGAACTGGTGATGGTTGACTGAAATATAACAAAAAACAAAGAAGTTTAAAGTTGTATGCACAAAAATGATGAATCATATTTATGNAAATTCTATACTTTAAACTTTAACTTTATTAAAGTTAAAGTCACTTTAAACTTTAACTTTTATTAAAGTTTAAAGTTTCGAAATTGCTATCAAAAACCATATAGAATTGAACACGAAGGGTTAACAGATATTTTTGACTTTTTTTTTCATTTTTATACCTACTTTAACTACTTTTTTTTGTAAAGTTTAAAGTTAAAGTGCCACCCCTAATTGTGATCGATCCTATAAAAAGTCTATTAATATAAATGATATTCTTATAGATAAACTTACATCAGGTGGATCTTGTTCTTGTTCTTGTTATAGATTTTCTTTGCTCGTTGTCGTTCAATATTTTTCACCATTGAATGTGGTACTGTTATTTGATTATTTGTTTCAATAGGATTCTATTTTGTTTTATTTCAATTAATTTTAAAAATAAAATAAAAATAAAACTAACCAATAGATCTCTCAATAGTCTTTTCAACATAGAAAGATGATTTTTCTTGACAGATACTTCGTTTGTTTCCTCACATATGCAAAACAAAAAAATCATATCTTATTTATTTAGATCCACTGAAAAGCATAGATTTAGAATATGCCACTTTCAAAATGTTTTTTTTTAATCAAGCATTTTGCTCTGAGCTTGATAATGATTTATATTATTGTTAATCATTGAGACAGAATTTGTCACGATTCCTTTGAAAATTTGTATATATGTCCAGATTTAGTGTCCTTGCGCTTTTCATCTCATCGAACAGATTGTTGGTGTTTTTCTAAAGAAAATTATCAAGTTACTTCTTTTAAACATGAAAGATGATCAATATTTCTTTATGAATAATCAAAATCGAAACAATATCGATCGAAGATGACCATACGCACATCATTTTAAAGAGATTAAGCCCATTTCTATCTTATTGATTAACAAGATTAGTCGAGTCTTCGGTTTTTCTGAAGATTTTATTATAGCTAAGACTGTAATCGAAATAGATCTATTCGGAATCTATTCATTGTTATTGAACCTAAAGAATCAAAATATACTATTCGATTTAAATGCACGATGCAACTATATAAAGAAACAAACGAGAAATCTATCAGAAATAAATTGTTCTTTATGTTGAATGACTGCTGAGACATATGAAAAATTCTGACGAGGGAACATATTTAATTGTTGGACGTAGTTCAATTTGATAGTATAGAAATGAGTAGATCCCAGTCGGACTAAGTTCAACTAAAAAGGATTCGGACCCATGGTCTATTGATAAAGAGTTACCACTGTTTTAATGAAATTGTTCCTGAGATAAAGGCATTCCTGATAAACTAAAAACAAAGAGTTTCGATCTGAAATTCTGCGTATAGACACGTTTTATTGTGGTGAATGTTTCCACATAAAACCAACATGTCTTTCTCGATATATATTCGATTTTCAAATAAACTCGATCATTGTGGCATCCTATCGTAAACCATTGCTTTTATTGGATATTGAATATATCAAGAAAGACATGATCGTATTCGTTGAAACTTTCAGAACTATTAAACGTGTCTATAGGTGAAATTTCAGGTCAAAACTGTTTGTTTTGAATTTTTGAGAAGTGACTTTCTGTCTGTAAAAATTTCATTTAAATGCCCATTATTCTTCTATGTGGAGACCAAGAGTCCGAATCCTTTCAATCTTGCCGTAGTCTCATCGTGACCTACTCGTAGTCATAATTGAAAGTTAAACGGCGCTCGACAGTTGAATGTGTTCCCTTATGATAGATCTATTCATTTTTAGGTTACTTGTTATTTGTTTCTTTTTTTTTTATTAACTTACAATACTATATGATGCTAAATTGATTAAAAATGATTGATTTTTATTTTTGTTAATGCAGAAAATAATTGTCGATAGCAGATAATCATCTTGAAAATAAATAAAGTTGTTAAAGAAGTTTTTTTTTCTTTCATCTCTTTTTATTATAACAAAAAATAAAAACAATTCCAAATTATGTTTACGTAATTTTTCTTCAATATTTTCAACAAGACGTAATTTAACGTTTTTTTAATTGTTCTGTATTATAAATAGGATAGGTTTGAAAATATTGATTTATATCTGACAATGAACAACAATATTCTAATTCATAATATGTGATTGGAACTAATTGACGATTATAACTTAAAGTACCTTTTACTTCAATATAAATAATTATTTTTGATTTAAGATTTTTGTTAAAATAAAATTATATGGTTTTCGTTGTTCTAATTTTTCATTAAGCCATATGATTTCTGTTTCATTCAATTGAATTTTATTACGATATTTTCCATTGAGATATTCATTAACCCATTGTTCACCTGTAAAATTATTTAGAAATTTTATTTAGATATAAATGACAAAAAATATGTTTACCCCATCGACCAATTTTTTTCAATGATTCTTGATCAGAACCAATTGTTGAATCTCAATTATCAAATACTTGATGGGTTAAATCTTCGATAATGACATGTTCAGTATGCTGTTCAATATTTTCGTAAGGTATATCAGTAATTAATAGTAAAGTACCTGAACGAATATTATCGAATCGAGAAACTGAATAATCTATAAGGAAAATCACATGAAATACTATGTACTATGTAAAATAGAAAATCAAAGCATAGAATGATGAATTATCGTCTGGGAAAAAAAGATAGTGTACGTCACCATTTTTGGAATAACTCAAGAACAGAAAGAATTAGAGAGCTGCGGTTTTCACCATTCAAGAGACAAAAACCCGTGGCCATCAAATTCTATAGAAATTTGTTTAGTCATCGATTGACCAATCAAAGAAGTTCTTGATGAAGATTTTCGAAAATGATATTCCGAAGCTATTTTTTTTTCGATTTAGACTTTTAATAGGACTAATCGACAGAAAAAACTCTTCGCTTTCGATCGACACAACGTCGACAATCCTAGAAAGTTCCATTCTGGGATTATAGAACTTTTTCTGAGACTCTCGATTTTAGTCCATTGATCGATGTTCACCTGGAAAAGGAGCGGGGCAGAGGTATTTCACCGTGTTGAGTCGAATGGTGATAGTCTCTTTTAGGTTCGAAATGATGTTACGCTGTTATGTTAATATTCATGAAATTTCAAAATTAACCTCCACCTAACGAAGTAGTCAACATTCCGAAAATATTGAAATAAAACTGTCCGATTAGTTCAAACTTAAAAACAAATATCACTAATCGACTCAGCATGGTAAACTACCCTTTCCTAGTTGCTTTTTTTGGTTGATAACCGGTCAATAGGCTGAAATCTGGGGTGGTAGAAAAAGTGTTATAACTCGCAAGTGGAACTAGCTAGGAATGCCAGCCTTGCGATCATTGAGAAAGAAGAATTTTGGTAGTGATTCAGAATAAGAACACCGCCATCGCTACAATATACTGATTAGGTGTGACACCAATAGATTTTGTTTTTCTATTCTATATACATTAAACAATGCAAGTCTTAATATTCTGCATTTATATCAAGTTATGGTATGTTGAACATTTTCGTGAGATATATTTTTTCAAATTTCAAATACATTTTTTTATGCAATTAGAAAAGTTCTCTCCAAATATGAAGACAATGAGACTGTGCTGAAAGTTAAGTTGTGAGTACCTTACATACATTATAAATGCCCCCCAAGTTCAAATATCTCTGTCCAGGCGCACGCACGAATAGTAGGTTTATAGTTTTGATGTGATAGTTTGGTAGTGAGAACTTTGATTCGACCCGAATATGTTTAACCATATAAACTTACAATCGAAGCATCTTCGTTGTTAGTTTATTAAAGATACTAGAATTATATGATTAGACTACAAATGAGTACCTTAGAAAAGTAAATGTCTGATTTCTTTCAAAGAAATAAAATAAAGTTGATTTTAAGTCATAGAAAACGATGTTTTTCTCAAAGAGTTGTTTGTAATTGAAGGAGTCAGATATTTTACAGATACTATTCAATTGGAATTAGATGAGTTTTAATAAGAAATATTTCTGTTTAAATGGAAGCTGATCTTAACATACACGTCATCTCCATATCAATTATAAGCGTAGTATTTATTATAGAACAAAACAAAACAAAACAATTCGAGTCTTATGGAAGTTTTTCTTTTGACACGTAGTGAACGATGTTTTAAGATCTGATTTAGAGATTTTATCGACGACGAAGACTAAAAATCCAATAAAACGATACTAGTTGAATCCAATAGAAGTCTAATTTCTAGGAATCTTTATTATGCGAAAGTTTTATAAGTTTCATTTACCCGATAAATAAAACTATGAGATCTACACAATTCTATGACATTCCTCATTGACGCACACGATCAAAATGCACTATCAACTGGATTAAGTGACATTAGTGTTACATTATTGATTATATTTTCATTATTTATTTCTTACCAGAAGCACTTTGATATTCAACAGATGGATTTGTCGTAATCATAGAAGTTTCTGATAAATTCTTTTTCAATTCTTCGCGTTTCTTTTGTTTATAAGCTTTATATTGTTCTTGATTTTGAGCAACATTTTCATGTAACATTCGAACTTTATTTTCATCTAAATATTATTATTTTAATTATATTTAGATGAAAAAAGAGAAAGATTTTTTTATTCTTAATACCAATATTTGGTTGAATATGTTTGATTTGTTTTGATGTTGATAGCATTTGCCATAGAATATCATCTGAATCTTTAAATTCTAAATCAAACTTTTGATATTTAACAAATATTTCAAGATTATTTTCTTCTTCATTATATAATAAATTGTCAAGTAAACGAATTAATTCATCGTTATGATAAGGTATTAAATATTCGAGCAAATCAATGAAATATATCTCGATAATATTTAGATTTTTCTTCTTGAATTGTACAAATAGATGAATCTGATTTCAATCGATAAATAAACTGAAGATAATCAACAATTTTAAATTGTAGATTAGCAAATAATGATGATATATTTATTGATTTTGTCCATTGATATGCATATCGAAGAATTCTGGATGAGATTTTATGAATAATTGTATGTAAGGAATAAGTGGAGAAAGTAAATTTTGAATAAAAAATTCCATTCGATGGATTTTCAATAATATGTTCGATTGTAATTGATGATGAAGGAGATTTTATATGACACATATTAAAAAATGTTCAAACTAGAAAAAATAATAATATAAAATATAAATTATTTAGTAATTAATTCATCTACCATCTGATGATTATATATCAATCCATGGAATATTATTGATATGAGTCAATAATTGAGCAATATCATTATTATTGAATATCAATGTATTATCATCCAAAGAAACCTAACGATGATCTCTTGTAGAAAAAATTGATTTATCAGATAGTTTATCTAAATTAAATTTCATGAGAATATAATAAGTCAGTTCGAATACATGGATCTATGAAAATAAAGCACGTCAACATCGTCTATCGATGCTTCACACGATTTATTGTCCGTTGATTGTTATTCAATTTTTATTAGCGTTAACGAAAAAACATAATTTTCGCTGCCTAGGGATCTACTGTCTCTTGATTGTATAAAAATACTTTCCAATTAGTCGTTTTCTTGTATGGAAATTTACTTTTTGTTAATTATTTGGACGAAAAGAAATAAGCGAATGAGTAACATGAATGACGTGACATTGCGCTAAGACGACTGTCTTTCTTATAAAGCCGACCGGCCCGGAACCGAAAGTGGTTACTCTACAAGCAAAAGTCAACTATGATCACATTCGTATACAGTCACCGGTAAGATGCTCTGAGAAATGTGTACAACGTGCGAGTTGCTGAATTTAAATAAGCAAAAAAAGTATTTCATATCTTCACAGAGACTATCAAGACGGATTGAAAAATTCTATTGAGAATATTATGAGTACGGATCTGGTCTGGGTTCGAAAAAGTTTAATTAATCGGATGCTGGTCTAAAAAAATATAATGAATTGAGTCTGGATCTGAAAATTTTGAACCCGACGAGGTCTATCATGCAGTCTCATCCTCAATACTCTTTTGTTCATTTACTTTCGTCTCATGAATTAGTACTTCCACTCTTCGCCAACTATAGGCGAAAGTTTAGCGAACTTTTACCAATTGTTGTAGAACAGTATGAACGTCGTATACATGTGACTAATACATGCAATGTTATTGAAATGTAACTTATTGCTAACACTCGCAATGTTTTCGGATATAATCGAATCTATTCCGAACTAAACAAAAACACTTGACCAATGAAGAAACAGAAGAGAATACATGTCTTACGAAGCAAACATAACAAGGGAAAAAAACATGAGAATAAGATAAATTTTGAAAAAATTCTTTAAGATTATCTCAATTACGAGCTGGTCTTGAAGGTGAAAAAGGTCTAATAATTGGTCGATCTGTTTAGTCTTACATGCTGCTGTACGTGTGTAGACTAGTATTTGTCAAACAATGAATATCTTAAATATTTCAACAAATAAAGTATATGATTACGACATAGACGAACATCATCCATAAATGTAAATGATATAAATCTCTGTAATTAATACCAAAGAGACATTCCTATTGGCAAGTTCGATGTATTTTCACCAATATTAGCGAATTTCGGGTAATTCAAATAATCAACAGACAGTAAATCATATATTGATTTATTGATAACAGATATAACGAAATTCGTAGTGACAAATTCTGCGAAGCATTTTTTAACAGGATTTATAATTCTCATTGTTATATTGTTTGTATACAATGAAAAAATTGCATGAGACTTTACAAATTGACTGTTTTATAGGTAGAGAATGATACTAATATAGAGTCATTTTCGATGATTAAAAAAGTTCCGAAATATGAATTTTTCTAATCTCGAAATAGTCGATGTTCCAGCATCTAATTTATAGAAGAAACTATAACTGATTGTTAATAATTCTTACATTGTAAATATTGTTTTTCTATGAGATTATTTTATTGTTCACACCATTTAACAATAGTTTTAAAAATAAAAATTGCATCTTGAATAGTGTTTTCTGTTATTTCAACTGGCGAAATATAAACTAAAATAAGATATTTGCACATTCAAATATGTTGACTTCAATAAGAGATTTTTAAAAACGTATACCGAATAAATTAATATATCATTTCTCAATTGTTGAATTCAATGGAATAGAGATTGTATCAAGAACAATTGATTTTTGTTCCATATAACAAGCTTCAAGTAAATAACGATTGATTGTTTTCAAATGATGAAGAATATTTAGCAAAAACATTTGTTGAATCACACCAACAAACTTCAGATATACTAACAAATCTACTACCAAGAATACTTATACGATTCAATGATGATGATGATAAAATAGGTACAAAGAAAATTGTTTTATGATTAATTTAATTCTCGTAAATCATTATTAGTAATATTTTCAGAGATATATTCATAAATATTCTGTATATGAGAAATAGAAGTATAGAAAATTGAATTTTTACACCAATTAAGTAATATTGAATTAACATAATTTTATGTAATATGTTCAATAAGACCAATATAATGTGTAAATGAAGAATTAAAATTAATATCAACGTCAATATATTGAACATATTGTCCAAAAATCCGTTCGATTTGTTTTGTTTTTATATAAATATGATTTGGTTTATCTAATTGACGAATTTTATTTAATTCAATATGACTTGTGTGTTCATTATAAGAATAAAATATTTGAATTATTATTGATTGAATTTAAATTGAAGAATTAAATTGTTCATATATTGAATTATTAATTGGAAATAAAAAATTCGATATACCTAATTCAGAAAGAAATTTATGTCATTTTTTACGATGATTTAATGATGAATTTTCATGAATAGATTCATCACTAATTAATATCCAATTATAAGCATTGAAATCTTTTAATAAATCATATCGATTACCATACTTAGATGTAAAATAAATCGAATGATATGATATACATATCTATATTGATGTCATTGGTAGAATTCTCTTAGCAATATCTCATTTTATTTTTGCTATGGGCTTCTATTGAAAGGGTTTATTCTTTGATTCAAATGGATACGACATATTGTCGTCTTTGTATACATTAGTTGTTATTGTCCATTCATGCATATGGACATTCACGTCTTTGTCTCTTTATGTTCATGGACGATTATGGTGTATGTGGCACATATAAATAGCAATATATTTGTATTATTGTATTCGCCGACGATTATTTATTCTCTGGTGCACATTTACGTCAGGTTGGTACGTTCATTGAAATATCATATAAATATATTTTGTTCATTTTAGATCGTTAATTGATATCAATCCTTGATGGATATAAACGGCAAATTTCGTGAAGCATCAGAAGCTGCGACTTTTCAACGGGCTCAAGAAGCTATAAAAGTACGTTTCTTTAGAGTTTGATTATTTAAACTTTGTTTTGTAAAGATCCTTTCAGAAATTCTGAATCAAGGTAAAAACGTCGCTCCATCGACAATGATCACCGTACTCATCAAACGGGCAGAATGCTATTTCAGCGAAGGACAGCACAATAGTAAGTTTTTTCACTCGTTTTTTGTATATAGTTTTCTTTTTTGTAGATGCACTGATGGATTTTCAAGAGATTATTAAATTGGGTTATCCAATCAAGACAAATCAATCACTCTTATACATTTATCAGTAAGATAAAGCTATGATCTTCGATAAAAAAAAATTCATTATATTTGCAGCGATTGCAAACTCAAAATAACCGTCGATGATGCTATCGACGATTTACGAGAAATACAACTAAAGTGTAAGTTTATTTATTGTTATGATAGAATAACCTGTGGTATTCGTTATAGATCGACTTTACTGTTCAGATAAGATTGCTTCTTTGGAAAAAATACCGGTAGATATTTTGATTAATAAGTATGAAAAGCAAAGATCTTTATATCTATGGAATTTTTTTCTGATTTTTAGGAATGGTAATCTGCGAAATCGTGGTCGAAGCCAATCTGCAGATCGTCAAAAAGGGTGGAAATAAAAACATTCTTTTTCTACAAAAATGATTTTTTTATGTTGATAAAAAATAAAGATGACAAAAGTTTGATCGCGTTTTCTCTTTACCCTCATCTTCTCGGCTTTGGAGTTGGTTCAATGGTCTTTTTCCAACTGTAATAAAAAAACTCATTTTTTGACAAATCTTCTCATATTTTCAATGATTTTTCGAAGGTTTATCTGATCAAGGATAAATCCAAATGCTCATTAATATTTCTATTTGCATTCACCAGATAAAGAACAAGTCTCCATATAATGGGTAATTCTCCATCTGAGCTAAAGATCATATTTTTTATTCGGTTTTGATTCGATTCACTGCTCATCATTCGACCGGCAATNGGAACATTCTTTTCAGCTAAAATTTTCAGGATATTCTAAAGATGATTAGATCTATCTATCGGCAAAATTTCAGATAAAAACTCCGTTGTCTGATTTACTGCTCAATAGCGAAAAAATGGTCAAAAATTCAGTAGACAGGACATAACTCGACTCCGAAGGCCCATGGGGAAGAACCCTTTTAAGCTTTTGCTAGTCTCACTGAGCTCTACAAAATGGCATATATCCGATTCAAAACGGAGCGTAACACCTGGGGACCTTCCCTGGTGAGTCGAAAAGTATATAGGATAATTTCTCTCATTAGCTACCATACAAATTAGAAATCCTATAATAAGTTGGTACACTCCGTAGTGTTCAGCACGATAACATACACCATCGAGTACAAATACATACTCATATGAACTGATCCTTGATATTCTGGATAGCCAAGTAGGTTGTTCAATAATGCAACCATTGATTGAACAACTGATGGCTTCAACTGAAGCATTTCAACTACGAAATTCATATAGTACTTTCCGTATACTAACAAACAATAGCATCTATCAAAATGCAATTTACTGACGAAAACGCTACAATTGTAGTATAGTCAAAATTCAAACTGCTTAGTACTACGACGTCTATCTGAATGAAATTCAATTGATCTCTCATATTCTTTTTTCAAGTATTAAAATTGTCTCACTTTATTAAACTCATGATCACTATAATAATAAACTTTTTACAATATTCTAATAAATGACTGTAGTGATTGTAGAGTTTCATCATGTAGAAATCCTTTCTGTAAAAGAACTTTATTGATTATATTTTAATTATTCATTTTTTTTTACCGAAAGCACTTTGATGTTCAACAGATAGATTATTAGCAATCGTGGAAGTTTCAGATAGATGTTTTTTTAATTCTTGTCGTTTTTTTTGTTTATAAACATTATATTGTTCTTGATTTTGAGCAACGTTTTCAAGTAACATTCGAACTTTATTTTCATCTAAATATGATTATTTTAATTTTTTTTCAAAAAGATTTTTTTTTTTCTAAATACCAATTTTTGGTTCAATATGTTTGATTTGTTTTGATGTTGATGGCATATGCCATGGAATATCATCGGAATCTTTAAAATCTAAATCAAAATTTTGATATTTAGCAAATATATCAAGATTATTTTCTTCTTCATTATATAATAAATTCATAAAATTGCCAAGTGAACGAATTAAATCATCATTATGATATGGTATAAATATTCGAGCAAATGAATGAAATATATCACGATAATATTTTAATTGTTTTGTCCATTCATAATGAATATAAAAAATCATATGATTTTTATCATAATATGATTTTTCTTCTCGAATTATACAAATAGATGAATCAGATTTAAATCGATAAATTAATTGAAGATAATCAACAATATTAAATTGAATATTCATAAGTAATGATGACATATTTATTGATTTTGTCCACTGATATGCATCGAAAAATTCTGTTCGAGATTTCATAAATAATTGTATATATGGAATCAATGGAGAAAGTAAATTTTGAATAAAAATTCCATCCGATGGATTTTCAATGATATGTTCAATTGTAATTGATGATGAAAGAGATTTTATATCACACATATTAAAAAATATTAAAACTATTAAAAAAAAAACCAACAACAATGATAACAATAATAATAACAAAATTATTTAGTAATTGATTTATGTACCGTCTGTTGATGATGATATATCAATCAATGGAATATTTTTCATATGAGTAAATAATTGAGCAATATCATTATTATCCGATATCAATGGATTATCATCCAAAGAAACCCAACGATGATCTCTTGTAGGAAAAATTGATTTATGAGATAGTTTATCTAAATTAAATTTCATCAGAATAGAATCATTCATTTCGAATACATAGATACATGATGAAAAGAAAAAAGAAATTAAACATCGTTCATGAACGGTTTACATAATTTTTTGTTTTCACGGGAAAAATATTGTTTCAATTAGTCGTTTTCTTAAATGAGGATTTGCTCTTCAATGAGCGAACAACAACTGACAGTAGAACACGGCATAGAAAAAAAGTGAAAGTAAGATAAATCGGGTTTTGGAGCATACTTTTTTTTTTTCTTTTCATTCTCGGCAAATAGGGCCATCAACAAGATGAAAAACAGACATTACTGTATCAACCAACGATCTTTCCTTCAAGTCCAATAAGTGTTATAATTTCTCAATCTGCTTTGTCTTACGTATTATGACTGACATTTATCAAACAATGAATATCTAAAGTATATTTCAACAAATAAAGTAAGCGCCTACGACATAGACGAATACTATTCATGCAAATCTCTATAAGCAATACTAAAGAAATATTCGCATTGTCAAGTTCGATGAATTACTGTCAATATTGGTGAGAGATCCATCACTGAAAGTTGTATTGGCGCACTTCAACAAAATCTATAGCGACGGATCCTGTAAGGCATTTTCTATAAAACCCGATCTAAAACAACTGTTGAAATACAAAGACATAAATTTGGACTCTCTCTTCTGAGTTGTCGATATACAATCAAAGACTGTATGTCAATAACGTCTCGTTATAATAAATGAACTACATCCAGTTTTCCATATCTGAAGGATTAAAAAGATGATGAACAACTCTGTCTCAGAATAGATAGAATAAAGCAATCTTCATGTGATTAACAGCAGGATCCAAAATATTTTTAAATTTTAATTCCACAAGCACTGCACTAACGGCTAGAGAAAAATTATTATCTTGAAATAGATTATGCTTAACATTTAATTAAAATAAGTATAATTCTTTGTTAATAAATTCTTACTTTGTAAATCTTGTTTCTCTATGAGATTATTTGATTGTTCACAACACCGTTGTCCAATGGTTTTAAAGATTAAAAATGCATCTTGAATAGTATTTTCTGTTGTTTCAAGTGATGAGATATGAACTAAAATAAAACTAACCATTGAATTTTGATAAAACAATTAAAAAAATCCATACCTAATAAATTAATATATTCTTCAATAGTTGGATTTAATGGAATAGAAAATGTATCAAGAAAAATTGTTTTTTGTTCAGTATAATAAGGTTCGAGTAAATAACGATTAGTTGTTTTTAACAATGAAGAATATTTAAGAAAAAGATTTGTTGAATCACACCAACAAACTTCAGATATATTAACAAATCTACCACGAACAATATTTGTACGATTCAATGATGATAAAATTGGTACAAAAAAAATTGATTTATTATTAATTAATTCTCGTAATTCATTAATACTCATATTTTCATAAATATATTCATAAATATTTTGCATATGAGAAATTGAAGTATAAAAAATTGAATTATTACACCAATTAATTAACATAGAAATAACATTAACTAATGTAATATTTTGAATAAGACCAATATCATTTGCAAATGATGAATTATAATCAATATTAACATCAATATATTGAATATGTTGTTGAAAAAGTTGTTCAATTTGTTTTGTTTTTATATAAATATTATTTGGTTTATCTAATTTATGAATTTTATTTAATTCAATATGATTAATTTCTTCATTATAAGAATAAATAATTTGAATTGTTGGTATCCATATAGATTCTTTTAAATATTTTAAAAATAATTCATTATTATGAAACATTATATAAGTTTCGTGTAATGCTAAAAAAAGTTTTNCGTGGTAGATTTGTTAATTGGAAATAAAAAATTCGAAATACTTAATTCAGAAAAAAATTCATGTAACTTTTTACGATAATTTAATGATGAATTTTCAGGAATATATTTATCACTAATTAATATCCATTTATATCCATTGAAATCTTTTAATAAATCATATGGATTATTATATTTTGGTGTGAAATAAATTGAATTATGTATTGGTGATTTAAAATTATCATTTGTTAATAATTGAACAATTGATTTTAATCGAGACATATCGATATAATGATTCTAGAAGAAAGAAAGTATTTTTTTTTGTTTTCTAAAGACGGTAATGAATGAAAAGTCCCTGGAAGTTAATTTTTTCATNCTGTTTTTTTTCAACCTTCGATTGAAGAGGAATTATGTTTTTATCAAAATTTTTTCGATGATAACTTTAGTTATTCGTGATTATTTTCACATTAAGATGCTATCGATTAAATATGGTGATATCTCTTCTTCTTGTATAATAATAGTTTATCTGTGCTAGAGATATGCACCGTGCCTAAAACATGAGGTGGTGGCGGCACGCAGAATGACGACAGCATCTGTCTGGCTGTAGAGCTCAGCTGTTTCAAAAACCATTGGCACCATTAAATCATCATTTTTTTTTTGGGATTAAACATTTCAGTATATGAGGAGCTAGCGGGATCTAATTTCTGGAATTCATTGGATTTATATAAACCACCGAATTTATGTGAACTTATCTATTGATATTGCATAATACGTTTTAATTGTATCAAAAGAGAGTCATAGTTCTGATGAGTTAGCCTTTATCCTTCGCTGATCGTCAGCTGGGTACTTGCATTCAGCCTAGTTTCTTTCGTTTGATGATAACATATATAATAGAATTTATAGAAAAATCTCGGAAGCTAACAAAATAAAGACGAAATGAAGGTTGCTAATACGTTCATGACTGATACTGTTAGTTTTGAAATAGTTTCTTACCGTTCTTAATGGTAAATAAGCATATACATCTTGTTTAGTTAATATAATTTCTCCGTTATTATTAACTTCATGTAAAGGAAAAGCTAATGCTATCTCTGTTGCTTCAACAACATCATCGAAGTTTGCTTTAATTTCTTCTGGAATGTTTAATTGTTTTTTAATAATAAACCATTTTTCAATAATTTGTTCACAACGTATTTCAACAATACTTGTATCAGATATATCAATACGTTCATAGATTTGTTTTGAATTAGTTAAACGATTATGAATAGTTATTGAACGAAGACGATTTAAAAAAAGTAAAAGTGATGGATGAATATCATTGAAACTTTCTGTTAATGAACGTGATTTATGTTTTTGCATTTCGTTTTCAGATTTTAATGGTAAACATATTCGTGTTCTCCAATTTGAATATTCGACATCTTTATTTTCATTTTGTATCCAATTAGGTAATATATATCCTATTGAACCATTAGAAGCATCAAAACAAATTTGATAACCATTAGAATAAATTTCTGGACGATCACTAAATGATAAATAATTTTCTTCTTACTTTTTTCTAAGAAAGAGTTCATGAGACAATCAAAGAACTGATCACAATGTAAGTTTTTGATTTTTTTATGTACATTCGAATGGCTCTTATCTGAAAGTATTAAACCCAAATTTTGAGTTCATTTCGGTATTTTATAATAAAGTTAACTTAGATCGACTTTTTAGCACTACCTACATACTATTCAGAAAATAGTGATAAATTATCTACATAAATGTCTACCAGAATTATACCTCAACAAGTTAGAGAATCTTTGCACCCAGTGTACCAAAAGATAGTTGATTCTCTACAAAATGATACAAAAAAATATTGAAAAAAAGTTCATCTTCCTAGTAAAACAGGGTTCACATATCTTTCACACATAGTGTTTTAATTGTCATGATACGATTGTAAAGCAAGATAAATGTGACATTCGAAATCAGCATCAAAAATTCGATTTAGTCAAAAACATTTTAGAGAATTTCTTTTCTACGAAAAAATAATCCGTAGGAGACCACAGGTAATCGTTTCATAAAAAGAAATTCTCGTAACAGTATTTTACTCAATGTTCTTTTTTGACTGTGACTCCGAATGTTACATTTATTTCGCTTTAAAATAAAAATCACTATCTTTGAAAGAGATGTGAACTTCACTTTACCTCTAAAATGAATTTTTTTACCATTTTGTAATATCAAAAATCTATCGTAATGAACTCATATATGGTACACTACTCCACTCATGTTGAACTGTATAAATTTAGTAAATAGATGATACATAGTATTTGAAATAATTTATTTTATTCAACTTTTCATGCTCTAACTGTTGGTATATCGAATGAAAAAATTCTTTAACTTATTGAAGTATGTTCCTAGTAGACATTTATGTGGAAAATTTATCACCATTTTCTGGATAGACTAACTTTACTATAGAACATCTAAATATGCTAAAAGTTTAGTTTTCGTGGTGTGAGATGACGTTTTTTCAAATGCGCATAAAAACAAATTAGTATTAAAATTTTGACCAGTGACTTAGTTCTCTTATGAACTCTCTCTCTCTCTCTCTCTTAAAAATCAACTTACCAAACAGTAAAAACTGACTTAAAACCGATTCCTTTTTGTCCAATATAACCTTGTTTATGTTTTCCTTTAGTTGATTTACCAATATCACATAATGCTTGAATATTATTTTCTTGAAATCCAATTTCATTATTATAAATATTAATTGAATTTGAATCAATAACAAAAACTAAACTAGGCTTATTATCATATTGATTATCATCAGCATTTTGAATTAATTCAAGTACAAAATGCATATCACTATTATATAATTCTTTTGAAAGACGTTCTAATGATCGACCAACAAGGGATTTTAATTGATCAGTTAAATATTGACTTTCATTTGAAAGATTTAAACCAATACCAAATTTTTCTCGACGAATACGTTCAATTAAATCATAAGCATTATTATTAGTAGAAAATGTTTGTTCAACTTTTGAAACTAATGAAGATGTTACAAGATTTGAAACTGACACAGGTAAATGTTTTTCTTGTTGAATGATTTTAATTGACGTGTCAATTTTTATTTTATCCATTGACCATTCAGTAAATCCTAATTGTTGTCCTAATTGAATGAATCGCATAATCATATTTGAATCTTGTTTATCAATAGTTTTCCATAATATTTCACGTATTTTCATTTGACTACCTTCAAGTTTAATTAATGGTTGAAGAAAAATTCGTTCAATAATAAATGAAAGAAGAAGAAATGGTATTCGAAGAAAAATATGTATCAAAAAATTATATAATCGATTATCAAGTGTTGTAGTCAAGAAAAATGTATGTACTATATTTGAAAGAAGAGATAATGGAGCATTATTTAATGAACCATATTGAACAAGAATTGAAACAATATGTCCTGAAGTTAAGATTGAATCGTAATTATAAAGAGATTCTTTGAATAGATCGAGCGTAGAATTCGAAGATAATTTCAGAAATGTAATATGATCAATTTCGAGTATTGGAATCGAATGTCGCAAAAGAAAGGTTTTCAAATTGCCTAATAATGAACGAAAACGTAAATTCCATTGTGTATCAAAATGAAGGTTTCCAAGAAGATGACACTGATTAATAGCATGTAAAGCTTGTTGTTCAACATCTAAACATGTAAATAAATGTTATAAGAAAATATTCTTAATTATCCAATATTACATCAAATGATTTGTTTTACATTAAATTTTCAAATATTTTCAGTATTAAGAACAATTTTCTTGATTCTAATATCGTTCATTACAAAGTGTATCAGAACATAATAGTACATCAAATGATCCAGATTACATGATAGTGTTCATATTTCCTTCCTAGGAGCAGCTATGGCTCAGTGACCACGTTATTCAACATGTGTCCACTAGGTATTATGTGCAAACATCAATATTACCAACCATGGAATGACTCAGGACTGAGCAATAAAAAACAAAAAATAGCCATTTTAAAACCTCTGAAACGTTGTATCTTTTAGCTACAATTCACAAATTTTCACATCAAAATATGAGCTAGAGAAAAAATTAATTTTTAGTTCAATGGTCAAAGTAAAATAAATTCAATTTTGGGACTTGCTAACTCGCGAGGCAAGTTATCCAATTGATTAATCGCTTGTGGGTTCGAGTCCTTAGTATATATGGGTGCATGTATAGTGCACATTTACGGGAGTTTTTAAATGAATACCGGAGTTTCTTTCCGAAACACTATGAAAACTAATTTTCGGGTTCCAACTTAAAACTTTGCACAGGGGCTAGTCCTTAACGATAACATTTTATTGTGAAAATTTCAAGTCGAAAATCAGTTTTTCTGATGTTCTTGAGTGAAAGTATCGCATTTATTTTAAAAAATACCGCTACAGTACAGTATCTTCGCAGCAATACGCTGAGAATACGAATTCTTTTCAGTATATTCATAGCACATTTCGGTCATGACATCACTTGTATAGCTAAACATGTCTTTATGAAATAATATTATTTACCTTGTAGAAATGATTTTGATGTTTTATTTAATGTCTGTTTGAGTATTGGTATTTCATCTAATAAGATACATTCATAATGAATTGATGTATTCTGAGACTTTTTATTTTGTTTAATAGAATTAAATATTGATCGAAATGAACCATATCCAAGTTGTTCAAATGATTCAATTTGATAATGATAACAAATAACTTGCTCAATATATGGTTGATCTGTTGATCTATCAAGTATTTGAAGAATAAATTGTTCAAGATCTTCAAATAAAACTATAAATGTTTTCTTATTATCATTACATTCTGATGAAGAAAATTTGAATTTAATATCAATAGGAAATAATAGTTGCTCATTTTGTGCTATATAATTAGTAAAAGTATCATGACCTAATTCTTGAAAATGAGTTACTTTAAATTTTTCACATAAACGTTGTTCAATTCGAGATAATAAATTAAATGTAATCATTTTTAATGGACCAATTTGTTCTTTAAATGCTTGAAGAATTTCATTGTCATTCGGATGAGTAATCACTGGTTCAGATGGTTTTATTTTCGGTTTTGTTTTTAATTCAATATCATTATCTGATGAATCAGATGAATTAAAATATATTTTTTTGCTTGTGTTACACTGATTTTTATTTGATGATTGTTTTGATTGAATAGTTTGATCAGGCATTTCCAAATTACCATGGCAAATGGCTATTTGAAATATATTTCTTAACATTGGATCTTTCGAAATAATGTCAAGTGCATGAGATATTTTTCGAAATGAAGTATAACCTAAATAAATATTCATACAATCTAAGATATTGAATTTACTTACAAATAGAGACATACAGAGTAAGATTTTTTGTAGCCTGTACTGTGACTGAAGAGAGAACTTTTCTAACTTGAAAGTGCTTTTTCATTTCGAACTATGTACTTAACGTAGATTCCAATGAGATATTAAAAACCCTAAAGAAATAAGGATATCTAGAATTTTTCCAAAGAGTTATAGCCATTTTAGTGAAATTTTAGTCCATGCAACCGTACCCATGTCGAACAAGCACACTTGTACATTGTCATATTTTGGCGTATTACATGGCTCTATAGTTTGCTTTAAATGGTCGTGTTAGTATCATTTTCAATCAGTAAAAGAATTGCGATAGCGAAATTTTTATTTGTAAAGAAATAGAAAATAATATTTAGTTAGATTCAAGAAGTACAGAAAGATGTGTCTGAAAAGAAGACGGAGACCCGCATTCATCTTGTCAAGAAAAAATATTCACTAAAATGCTTTTCACTCTTTTACTTTTTGCTATTGTACATCTTTGCTGAATGGACATCATACTATTGTCAGATTTCTTCGCGCTGTTTACGAAGAAATACGGACTATATATGAATTTCATATTCGTAGTTCTGAGTAAGTACTAAAAAAACTAAATGATGATATTTTGATCTGAGAAATTGTCTGCATAGATATACCCTGAAAATTTCAGATATTGAATTCCCAAAAATCACTTATATCCTCATGAAAGATTCGAGTATCTCGTGAAGAGAATATTCTTTTGTGCTGAAATTTTCAAGACATTGTAACAACACGTAGGTTTATCTATGAACAAAGTTTTAAGAAAACAATTTATATGTCTGTAGGGAAGGCGCAAGTATCCTTATCTCTTTGCCTCTATTAATACCTTATGTACAGAGTCCAAACTCAAAAGCGATTTTCAAGTTGAAAAGGTTCTTTCACGCGAAAAACTTTCTAGCCCTTACCTTACTCTATCCTGTACATCTTCATATACATATAAAACTGAATTGAAAAAGTTTAAATTTGTACTACGCGAAACAATAAAAATTCTCTTCACATACTTTGACAAACTTTGCGACAAATTTCAATAAGATCATTAATTATATCAATTGGATCCATTGATGCGTATATTTTACGTTGTTGATTATTATTATCTAATTTATCGTTAATAATTTTTGAAANATTCGAAAAAATGTTGTGTTTGAAAGTTGTGCTTCTTGGACGAAACGATTGTATCGCATGTCACAAAATAATGGAGATTATTTAAGATAATAAAAATATATACGTTTTGTAGAGAATTTGACGAGGAATCTTTTGGTAAAAAAATTTTTTCTTAAACACTGAAAAATGAATGAGTTATATGAAAAATACTGAGAGCGCCATTCATTTTGTGACACCCGTTATGTATATATACAACTGTTTAATATGATATAGTCTTGAATATGGAATACAATATAACGAAAACAAACTTCAATGCTAAGAAAAAGAGATAAAATGATATTATTATTACAAAAGACTCTGTTGGGTGTGAGTATGGGCGTGTTTGAAAGAAAGATCCATACTTCAGCCTCCAAATAGTATGTATTGTAGCGTTACATCGCGAGTAATGTTTGAGAAAGTTTTGTGTCTGGCCACATCTTTTATGGTGAACAGTATTGAAGACATGATGATTCACCATTAGTGAAAAAACGATGGTAAAGCATTAAAAAAAATGCATTTTTTCTAATTAAAGATAGAATGGTCGGATATGTTAAGTATATAAGCTTGCAGCTCACAAAAAAGCTCTACTAAACTGTAAATGTGAAAAGTTTTTTACAAACATTATCGACTAATATAGAAGATAATCCGTAATTAATTATGCTTCGAGTGCATAGTCATCTATCCTTAAATTAACTCTAGTTCCTTCGAATTTTTTTCTTAGCATTAAGGTGTGCTTTCTCGTTATCGTATTAAACAGATATATATGTATATATATGGTACTCAGTTTCTACCAGAGAGTGTCACAGGATGCATGTCCTGCAGGACATTCAAATAATCTTATTGATCGTGATTCAATGAAGTTCTATTCTATTAGTGAAACTCGCCATGATTTTGCATTATTATTAATAGTAGCCGGAAGAGTAACAGCTATACCAGCGAATATTAATTCGGTGGAAAGATTATTTAGCTCAGTTGGTTTAACATTTACTCAAAGATGAACATGTTTATTACCAAGTAAAATTGATAATATATTATTTATTCGTTTATACAAATAATTCAAGAAAAAGCAATAAAAAGAAAATTTATTTCTTTTCATTATCCACCCGTTCTTTTGTTTATCCTATGAATGTCACCTATTCTTTTTATTGCTCATTCGATTTCTACTAGAAAGCGTGTGATAAGGCTTATTAGCATGATTCTATTGTCAATAATTTTTGTATAAATAGTACGTCTATGTTATTTGATATCCTACCTCATATATCGACAAAATTTTATCCTTGTCAAAAAATGCAATGAAAAATTCCTCCTACAAGGACGCATTTTTTTAATGCCCTGTTCTGCATCTAGCAACACAGGATGACTGAATGATCATGTCCTACATTGTCTGGCAAAATGAATAAAACTCTTCCATGACATTATCTGACCATTACTATTATAGTCAAGTTGAATTGATTTTATGCAGTGTAAATAAATGACTCAGAACAAAAAAGAAACGGTGATGCGAGATTTTTGATGCGCACTATATTTACTTTGCTGGTTTTATAGTAAATAAATCAATATCATTTGAAGCTACGGCAAGCAAATGATACGATTGACCGAAATTCGGTGCAAATTGAATATCTTTAATTGCATTTTGTAATAACATATTCACGCTAGTTAAATCAACTTTAACCGCTTTTCTTAAAAAAAGAAACATTAAAGTTCTCATCAAATTAAAATGTTATTTTACCTATCAGGTGCATATTCCCATAATTGCAGTTTAGCACCAGTACCTGTATTACAATCATCACTTCCAACTGCAATTAATGGAGCTAAATGATGTCTAAATGAATTTCAATAATTATTTTCAATTCAAGAAGAAAAACAATAAATTTCTTTACCGAGCTGTACTCCAAGAAATACAACTTAAATTAGACATTCTCGTTTGTATTTCTTCCTTATTGACTACATTCGGACCTTGGAAATCATAAATACGTATTCGACCATCAATAAATACAGTTGCCTAGAAAAAAAAACAAGTTTATAATATATAAAATGAACTATGATTAAAACAGACAAGTGTAAGACCAAGATGCTTTGGAGCAAATTGTATAGCTACTGTATTATAAGCTGATGAATGTGTACCAACATCTGTATTTGATGATCGTTGTTCAGAAGAAGCAAACAAAAATGAATCGAGAAATTGCTCTGATAAAAAAATGTTGCAGTAAAAATTTTATTAATTAATAAAAAGTGTTCATACCTTTATTTACCCATTTAGTAGCATATTCTGATGGATCATTATGTCCTGTTGGAGTCTATACTGGAGAAGATTGTAAAGTAACAATTGATAGACATAGAAACTTACTTCATACCAAACATTAACAAAACGATCATAAGCTACTGTTGCAAGAATACCACCAAATTCTGGATGAGCCCATGTTACTCTATATACCCAAAAACTGTACACATTTGAAAATATTATTTATTAATTTACCGTATCATAGGACCCGTTTGTAAAGGAAGCTGTAAAAATAAAAATAAATAGATAAACTTTTCTTGTACATTTTTTACCGAAAAGGAGCCAGATTGTTGCCACGTATCATCATGTAGATCGTATATCTAATTCAATTGATAAGTAAAACAGAGATTATTTATGTAAAACAAAATTGAAAAATAAACCAACTCGAACATATCCATCACTTGAACAAGTAGCCATTCGTGTACCATAGAAATTGAATGCAGTATCATGGATGAAATCTTTGTGAAAATTATGCAAAAATTTTAATTCATCATTGCTCATCATTTTTGATGTGCGAGCAAAATTTCAATGACTGAGATATATCTTTTCTACTTATAATGATATTCAATTTAGTTATTCATTGGTTAACTATACTAATCTATTAAGTGTCTTGTTTATAATTTCTCTCGATAGCTCGAGTCATCTATCGAATAGATTTTATGATAACAGCATTTAATACTAAACATTTCTCTTTGAAATAAACACATCATTAGACTTCTAATTTTATCTAATAAGCAACGATTACCTTTTCTTCTTCTTCTTCTTCTAATTTTTTAACATAATCAAGTTTAATAAATTTCTCATATTTTATTGCATGAGCTCGTCTTAAATATTTTTCTATGATTTCCCTAGTTTTATTGAAAGTTTTTAAATACGAATGACGGTTGCGACTAGATTGAATAATACTTTCAAAATTATTTGAATTTATGAATGGAACATTATTTTTTTCAACTACATCGAAAATTACACTTCTGAAACTATGTCTGTTTCAGAGTTTAATGGTTGTGAACATTTTTTGAACAGCTTTAAAATAAAAAGAGAGAAATAACTCAAACTTTAGTACCATCTAGAGTTGACATGATTCTATCTTTTCATTAAGTCGATGAAAAACTTCAGTCACTTCTCTTTTTGGATATATCAGATAATCTGAAATTCCCTTTGAAAACAATATGCTTTCTCAACTATAATATAATAGGCAAATAGTTTAACTTCTTCTCTATTGATTCATACAAAGCTGAGATTGATAACGATTTGTGTTCTAAAAATATAAAGAATTTACTAGAGATCATTCACCAATTTTTTCAAAATCTGAGTAGTTAACAAATATTTTCTTCTGTAGGCTTTTAGTCACTATATTGACTTCGTCACATGATTTATTAGCCCGTTTGTTGTTCTTTTTTCCTAGTAACAACATCATTAAAAACCATGAACACAATATATTCTGATTATAATCCATCAATACTTTCAAAAAGTTCTCTTAAACTTTTATTTTATTAGTGCTTCCATCAGAATAATGTTTTAAGTCAAAATCGATCAACCTTAAAGAATTTTAAGATGTTTATGTAAACTCATAATAATAGTCATTGATCATCAGCATCATCTGTAATATAAGTACTATAATCATTCACTTTTTCTTCCATCTCTTTGACCATGAGCGACGCAAGCTCAATTTTTTAACAGAAGCAATAAGCTTTAAGATGAGACAGAGTTGGAGCCGGTCCGGTCAGTCTACACCTGTTTTTATTGGTTTAAAAAAAAAATTTTAGTATGCTATTTTTTTTTTGATAAAACATGTCGAGACCAAGTTTAAACGCATTTATCAAAATAGCGAAACAGGATTGTTTCAGAAATTAACAGTTTTATCTTTTTCTGTTTGTCTATACTTTTTTATTTCTTTAATTGATCTGTCTTTCGCTTCATGAAAAGCACAATCAAAACTGTGTTACTTGAGATTAACTTCTGAACTTATCTCGTTAATGTTTTGTTGGAGACTAGATTTTTGTTTGGACCATCATTCTCAGAGGAACATTAGGTTTTTTAGTTAAATTTAAGTGAAAAACTTCAACAACTGCAGTTTAGAAATCAGTTGCTGGTTAAATTGTCTAATTTTCGCGCTAAAGAGACATCACAAATTCATCTTGAGAAATCTTAAAAACATGAACGACTGTGATTTGATATTTTCTTTTAAGTGGTTCTAAAAATGCGAGTAGAAAAGGAAACTGAGTGATTGTTGAAGCTACTTCTTTCAACCGATTAAAAATGATCTGACAAGCCGACCAGTTTTTACCGGTCTGTAAAAATTTTGAAACCGGTCGGGCCGAGCCGATCTAATATTTGGACCAACCGGATCGGACCGGTTCCAACTTCCGAATGAAACTATATTTCCTTCCCTCCGAGTCATAGCTCAACGCTCGGCAGTAAAAGTATTTTTCGAAATTAACTTCTCAAAAACATAGTATCGGAAGCCTGCGTATTAATTTATTTCGACAGCATATTAAGAGTTTGAGGGTAGAGTGTAACGTTTTTTGTTGAGAACAGATGTATTCAGAACGAGTGGACAAAACTTAAGTTTTTTTTTCTTACTTTTCGCTCACCAATCATTGAGTTTTCGAGTTCATACTCGCGTGAAAGATTGTCTACCATTTATCAGCTATTCCTTCTTGATGAAATTATAAACGTAAGAATCAATTGAAAATATTGTGATCTTCTCATTGAAACTTTATTTAGCTATTTATGTTAGCAGCTAGTTGATCTTCCTTATGAGTACGTTCTTATATGATGATCATGGACGAAATCAGAAAGAAATACAAATTTAAGTTACTTGATAATCAAAAGTTCAGAAAATATTGAGAAATAATATATATGGAGGAAGCATGAATAATTAGGGGAAGTAATTGTTAACTCGTTGCTTGCTGGTGCGCCGCCTGTCTTTGACATAAATATTAGCTTTTTTATGTTTTTTCACCTGATTTGACGTGACTAATATATGCAGCTGTTTTTGTTGATTTGTTCACTTCAGTCTAAGTAAAACTCATGTTTCTGTTATGTATGTTTTTATATTGGCCGAAGCTATTTCTATAGGAGTCAATGTACAGTGTCTCATTAGTACAGAGATGTGAGTGTGATGGTGGCTGATGAGAAAGCCAACATCTACATCCTCAATATCAGCTTTGTATGAATCGATAGAGAAGAAGTTAGACTATTTGTCTATTATAAATATAATTGAGAAAGAACACGATTTTCAAAGTAGATTAAGATCATCTTCAAAACTCATGATATATCTAAAAAGAAAAGTGATTAGAATGTTTCATCGACTATAAAAAAAAATAGAGCTGTGTCAACTCAGATGGTGCTACAACTCGAGTTATTTCTGTCTTTTTTATTTTAAAGCTATTCAAAAAATGTCCACTAACATGTAGCTCGGAAATGAACATCGGGCACTGAATAGAAATCAAAAAAGATAGGAAGAAAGGATTGGTAATTGATATGAAGGAACGAGAAAAATGACACTATTGTGTAACGAATATATGATTGATTCAGCAAATCACGGAAATAACATAAGATATTTAACGGAAATACTATAGATGAGAAAAAAATAAATAAACGGCTGAATCATTTAAATTACTTTTTGACAACTTCAAGTATTTTCTGAGAATGACGATGCGATAGTAATCAAAATTATTCAAAAACAGAGTATTCGATACACTATATGGTTCTAAAGAGATCACGACTCATGAAAACTTAAAACACATTGTCAACAGAGGTCAGGCGAAAAAATCTCACAAACGCATGGCTTTTATTTATATCTCTCCATAATGATTTATATTTTTCTTTACTTTTCTAAGTAGAAAATGTTATTTCGAATGTCTTGTACAACTCTCTTTTGTCTCTTCGAAAAAAATTTAACTACGTATGTGATTTGTCGATAATATTTTCTAATGCACAATATGCGGATACAGTTCTTCATAAGTAGAAAAGCGATTAGCCAACGAACACGATTAGATAGTTACGCTTCAATTGTTCTTGCTCGCTAAAAATAAGTTGCTTTTGTTTACGAAATACTGCAGAAGTGTCGTTTTTTTCCTCGTTGTACCATTGGTAAGCTTGTTTTTCTCTTTTAACAATATCAAACACTAATATATAACAGTCTGGAATTATTCTTTATCACTTTTTAATCATATAATCTTCCATAATTTGGTATTTCTACACGATATGCAAAGTCCTTGTCCATATGGTCGTTGTATAACGCGCACACAAATTACTGTGTCGGAGGATTGGTGCATATTCTGTAGAAATACCCACAACTTTTGTTACCTATTCATACAGACGCAAAAGACTAAGAATTTAAATAGTTCTAAGAAAACTCGACCATCAAAAACATTCACTACACATTTTATGTTTCAACTAATCTCAAGAGAAGAATTCGTTTAAACGCACTGCATTGCGCTTAAAAGAACGAAAGCAATAAACAAGTGTTAGAATATCGTTTTAACGAAATTTTAACACGCTTTGATGTATTTTTTAAAGAGTCTTGTCTGACTGAATAGAGCAAGCAATGAAAAAAAGTGACCTTGTATTGAACAGTAATTTTATTATGATTTTCTTGCATTTATGTACAGAAAAAAATTCCAGTGCAATACTTAAACAAGTGATTTATGAAAAAGACTTATATCTATTGAGCTATTCACCTCCCTACTGAAAAAGCAGTCCATAGTAATAATTGTTTTTTTTTCTTACACAAACAAAGTATTTTTAGTCGCATTTTCAATATGTTTTTCTTATGGCCCTAATTTCTAGTCAGATTTGTTTGAGATATGATGTCTTTTTCGTTAGTTCAGGTATCATTGTTTTCTATCACTTTTCTTAATTCATTCGTTCATTTTTTCATTTCTGTGAACTATTTCTTTCGTTCGTGTTTTTTAAACAATTATTCCTGTTTTTTAAATAATCGTTTAAAATCTTTTCAAGTGCGTGCATATTCATAATAGTCTTGATAAGACGTTCGTTTGAAATCTACTCATTTCTTCGTTAATTTTAACTAGTCACTGCCAATTTCGTTTATTTCATTGCCAATCCTCATATTATTTTTATCATCTCGTATTCGACGTCTGAAATATTATTAGCGTAACTAATGAGTAATCAATTAGGTGACTTAATTACGTTTATCGTAGCTCTGCGTTGTTTCTCATATCCATCACAGTCGTTATTGTTTTCTTTCGAGACAATTGCCATCTAACTCTCTTCTTATTCTAACAGAAAACAATTATTTCATTTGTGTACATATGAAACAACTTCTATTTTTGAGATAAAATAATCTATCTGACATTGAACTTTATACGGTATGCCTAAGTTTAGTTGTATTTATTTTGCCATATGATTTACTTTCTTAGTCGAAAAAAACTACTCAGATAAATGTGCTTAATAATTTAGAATCGTAGACAGAAGATTG